GGGGGGCCCTGATCGAGTTGCGGGGAGATGGGGACCGTTTTCCACAACACCGTAGAAAACGCCACGCATTTGACGCAGCAAACGACTAGAGATCGGCCATAAAAAGACTGATTCTAGCTTGTCTATTGCGAGCCATTGCGCACCATTATTCTCGTTGGTTCGTCGTTGAGACAGGCGAAGGAGGGCATTGGAAGATCACGTGGGTGTAGTGCAAGGGTCGACGATGGTGGTTCGACGGGGTTCAACTCGGGTTCAACTCGGGTTCAACTCGGGTTCAACTCGGGTTCAACTCGGGTTCAACTCGGGTTCAACCGATGAGGTCGTGACCACGGGGTTGTGGTCAGGGGGGATTCATAGCTAGGGATGGGGAGGACGGATATCGACCTGGACTCCACGCGTCGGGTCACAGTGCACACTGCACGACCCCAGCCAGGTTTGGGTGGGGTTGACACCGGGAGGGTTGCGTCGAGGGAGGTCATGGCGGCAGTATCTCAGCCACGATATGTTCGTGGGGGTGGAGAGGCCGGGTCAACCTTGCAGGCCGCTTTGGCAGCAGCAGCACATGCTGTGCGTGACCAGACTCCACGCAGGAGCGGAGCAGCTCGTCCTCGTCCCATGCCTGCGGCAGGGGGTGCCGCATTGGGGGAGTCTTCTGGACCCGAGGGGTTGGGGATGCTGCGCGGTTCACGTCGTGAGAAGACAGTCGCAAAGGTGACTCAGGTGAGTGCTAGGGTTGTTCGGGTGAGGACGGGGGTTGACCCTGTGACCGTTGTGGAGGAGGATCCCGAGACGGAGCCGGCACGTGAGGAGGCCCCACAAGAGGATGACGAGCACATGGACGACGAGGAGAGTGAGGAGGAGGAGAGCGACAACTAGAGGACGACAACTATGGCGACGACGACGAGCCCTCCCCTCCACCGCGGCGTGGTTCTGGTAGACGACGTGGCTGTAGCAGACGACACGATGACGTAGACGACCCGTCCCCTCCAAGGCGGTGGGAGACGAGGAGTCGGAGGAGGAGAGGGTCATCCGTTGCGACCGTGTCGGGGCGAGGGAGTGTTTCATCGACACGCAGTACGGGTGGGGAGAGGTAGAGAGGTAGCGGTAAGGGGAAGGGAGGTCGACAGTATTGACAACTTCGTTCCCCTTCCACGTCGGCTTTATGTTGTTTGTGCTCAATGTTCTGACCTTTTTGTACATTGTTTAGGATGATGTACATATACTTAGGTTTTCGACACTTAGGACTGGTTCATGGATTTTAGTATGCAGGTAGTGTCCTCGAAAGTATTTGTTTTTTGACTTTTTTTATTTATGTACGACGTTTTCATATTGTTTTTTAGTTATTTGGTTTATGTTAGAGGTGGGGCTTCATTCCGACTCGTTGTATGGTGTAGACTACGTTACCGAACGTACACGTACGGGGCCTTTCCGTACGAAACGTACAGATAATATCTGTACGGGAACCTGTACGCCCTCATACGACCCGTACGAAAAAAAAAAAAAAAAAAAAAAAAAACGTCATCCAAAAAATCCGAACAAAATATATGTGATGTAAAATCCCAAGACAAGCAACATTTGTCAGAGCTCCATCTTCAGATTCTTATTATAATTGGAGAAAAAAAAAATAAACAGTAAACAAAATTACAAAAACTCGTACGGGTCTTGAGTACAAGTAGCGTACAAAAAATGAGTACAACTTGTACTCGTACGGGGGTGAGTACGGATCGCAACGTAGGGCATAGATATTGTTTAATATTTTCTTTTCAGATTAGTTAGTTAGCGGTGTAGGCTGCATCCCATCACTGTACGACTCCTTATGACTCGGTGTGAGTGTCGACGACACATTGTATCATGCAACGTGTATTTCATATTGGACTCGTATAGGCGACTTCGGCATGACTGTTGTATCACGTTTCATGACTACCTTGTTTTTATTGTACTTTCATGTTCTTCTATGCGTGTATTCTTCTATGTGTGTGTGTGTGTGTGTGTGTGTGTGTGTGTGTGTGTGCGTGTGTGTGTGTGTGCGTGTGTGTGTGTGTGTGTGTCAGTGTGTATGTGTGTGTGTGTGTGTGTGTGTGAGTTTGTGTTTGTGTGTCTCAACACCCCTCCCCCAACAATCATTCAATCATTCAATAAAATAAATAAATAAATAAACCACAAAACATAAGGACAATAAAAAAAACAAAACCAAGACTGGGTGGGGGTTGGGTGGGCGGGTGGGGAAGGGTGTGGGGGGCGAGGTTTTCGGGTCGGGGGAACCGATTCAACGGGGGGGGCGGCTGGTTTGGGTGGTTTTTGTTGAGGCGGACTTGGGGTTGCGGGGGAGGGGCAGTAGGGCTTGGGGTTGCAGAGTGGCGGGGGGGTTCGGGCAGTTCGTCCTCCCGTTTGGGCAGGATTTCGAAAAGAGTTTAGGGGTGTGTCGCTCGACAGTTTCGACTTCCTTTCATGGTGGTGGGCGGGCACCTGGATATCACTTACAAAAGTTTGTCAAGTGACACTGGTCCCAACTGTTTCTTTCACTTCTTTCTCTCGCTTGTTGGGTCTTGACTCTTTCTTTCGTTTATCAATTGACCATTGTGTCAGAACGGGTTCGCCTGAGTGGTCTGATAATTCTTGTTGTCGTCAAGAGGGGCCCGACAATTTCTGCGTTGTGTCGGTGACGACAAATTTGTGCATTGATGCTTTGCGATGGATGCCCAAGGTATGGTGGACGTGAAACGGATCACACGTTTGTTCTCTGATCCGATCGTGCTTGAGAGAAGAAGAGTGTTCTGCGAGCCCTCGCAGACCGACGCCATCCCAGTTTTCTCTTTCCTCGATCTTAGGGATCTTTTGCCTTCTCCTAACATTGACAATTTCGAGGTATCTGGTTGCACCGCGGAGGGAGATGGAGACAACCATGGTGATGGTTTTTGTGGGCGTAAAGGTAAAGAAATATAGACAACATTCGGCCGCAAAACCGAGTACATTCTCAGCAAGAGGAACGGAAATGGACTTGTCCACAACAAAAAGGCACGTGCGCTCATTACGACCACCTCTGCCTATGCGGCTCTCCGTGGTGGCTGTTGCATGAGAAGATGTGTGAATACAATCCGTTTGCAGGAGGCGCTGAATGTAAGAAGCAAGTTCTGGGCTATGAAACAGCCTCAACAGATGGAGTTCTTAATACACGTGGTGAGAAAGGTGTCGATCTACAACGCTGATGGCAGGCTGCTGACATTGCATCTCGCTTTTGCGAGTCCATTCGTCTGCTCGACTACATGGGGCCGCCTATATGGATTGTGCAAGGCGCAAGTTACTAAGGTGTGTGCCACAATTCGTGACGGCGTGCATGGCAATTCTGGAAGTCGTTGCCCATCTGTAAGGTGCATGGCTGTGCACACGTGGATCAAGACCTACTTCAGCATGAACACGGAGTCCATGTCAAACACCGATAGGTTCCATCTCACCGATTGCCTAACAAAGACAGGAGGTGTGTGTCCGACATCCGATTCAACAGGGGTTTCATGTTGAATGGTTCAACGACCTTTGAAATCCGTTTACAACTCCTCGTTATATCTCGTTATAACGTGGTACAACGTGGCCCACGGATTTTTTTTTCCGCCCGTAAAAATGTGTAAAAAAAAAAAAAAAAAAGGGGGGTGTAGATTTTTGTGCGCTCTACATCCATATATTTTTATGTTCTGAGCATGTTAATGATTGAAAAAAAATAAAAAAACGAAAGTCTACTCATAGTACTAAAGAACAAGCCTCAAAAAGGGAAAAACACCATGTACAGTAAGGCGGGAGGGGGGGGGTTGGCGGGGCGCGGGGGCGGGGGGATGGGGGGCGGGGGCCCAGATCGAGTCGCGAGGAGATAGGAACCGTTTTCTACGACACCGCAGAAAACACCGCGCATTTGGCGCAGCAAACGACTAGAGATCGGCCATAAAAAAACCGATTCTTGCTTGTCTATTGCGAGTCATTGCGCGCCGTTATTCACGTTGGTTCGCCGTTGAGACAGGTGGAGGAGGGTGTTGGAAGATCGCGGGGGTGTCGTGGAAGGGTCGACCACAGTGGTTTGGCGAGGTTCAACTCGGGTTCAACTCGGGTTCAACCGACGAAGTCGTGACCACAGGGTTGTGGTGACGGGGGATTCATAGCTAGGGATGGGGAGGACATATATCGACCTGGACTCCACACGCAGGTCACAGTGCACATTGCACGACGCCAGCCAGGTTTGGGTGGGGTTGACACCGGGAGGGTTGTGCCCCGGGAGGTCATGGCGGCAGTATCTCAGCCACGATATGTTCGTGGGGGTGGAGTGGCGAGGTCTACCTTGTAGGCCGCTTTGGCAGCAACAGCACTTGCTGTGCGTGACCAGACTCCACGCAGGAACGAACCAGCTCGTCCACGTCCCATGTTTGTGACGGGGGGTGCCACATTGGGGGAGTCTTCGGGACCCGAGGGGTTCGGGATGCCGCGCGGTTCACGTCGTGAGAAAACAGTCGCAATGGTGACTCAGGTGAGTGCTAGGGTTGTTCGGGTGAGGACGGGCGCTGACCCTGTGACCGTGGTGGAGGACAATCCCGAGACGAGGAGGCCCCACAAGAGGATGACGAGTATATGGACGACGAGGAGAGTGAGGAGGAGGAGAGCGACAACCGGGAGGACGACAACTATAGCGACGACGACAAGCTCTCCCCTCCTCTGCGAAGTGGTTCTGGTAGACGATGTGGCTCTAGTAGACGATGCCATGACGTCGACGACCCGTCCCCTCCAGGGCGGTGGGAGATGAGGAGTCGGAGGAGGCGAGGGTCGTCCGTTGCGACCACGTCGGGGCGAGGGAGTGTTTCATCGACACTCAGCACGGGTGGGGAGAGGTAGAGAGGTAGTGGTAAGGGGAAGGGAGGTCAGCGGTATTGACAACTTCGTTCCCTCCACGTCGGCTTTATGTTGTTTATGCTCAGTGTTCTGACCTTTTTGTACATTGTTTAGGATGATGTACATATACTTAGGTTTTCGGCACTTAGGTCCAGTTCATGGACTTTAGTGTGCAGGTAGTGTCGTCGAGAGTGTTTGTTTTTTTACTTTTTTTATTTATGTATGGCGTTTTCATATTGTTTTTTAGTTATTTGGTTTATGTTAGAGGTGGCACTTCATTCCGACTCGTCGTATTATGTAGATGTTTGTCGGGATTTTCTTTTCAGATTTGTTAGTTAGCGGTGTAGGCTGCATCCCATCGTTGTACGACTCCGTACAACTCAGTATGAGTGTCGACGACACATTGTATTATGCGATATGTATTTCATATTGGACTCGTATATGCGACTTCGGCATGACTGTTATATG